CCAAGATCACACAGTTGGTGAATGCTCATTCGGTCTTACAAACACTGTTTTAGGGGAGAGGAGGGGAGGGGATGGAGCAAGCATTCTTTTCAACTGCATTTATAATCTCAAACGTTTTCTCCAAGATTGTTGATCTCGGAAACTATAMTTTTATCTTTGTGTTATCAGCATATGCTTTGTAATGGTTTATTAATATTATTAAATGATGGTTAGATTCATGTAATATGCAATAAATTATCATTAGAAATATATTATAATTKCCATCATCGTCATAATGAATATTTAATGTACAATAGTACAAGCATTTGGGTGCTCGGTTATTATTACGTTGTATGTTTTTCTTCTAGAGGAGACATTAAGAAATGCCTTGACCTTGTTAGCAAAACTGCTGACTCCATATGTGATGGTGACCTTGTTGAGAAACTGATAAGATCCAATAATAACTGGTCTCTTCTTCCCATGCAGGTAAAATGACTCACATTTCTTGAATAATTCATCACAAATACTACAAGTTACGTTTGATGGAAGTGCCCGGGGACTCCCTGATAAATAATAAAAAAGGGCGGGGGTCCTCGTCGTCCCTTTAAGGGTTTGAAATCAGTGTTCTGGTCCCGCTTAGGGTGATAATGACGAGAAATTCCCACCAACTGAGTTTTGTGGTCCCTTTTAGGGTATACGACGACCCTAAGCCGACATTAGATGATTGATCTCAATACGAGCCGACGGAGTTTGATGCTTGTGCAAAACAAAAACAAAACAAAAAAACAAAACAAATAAAATCGGGAAACCAAAATAAAATGACATGTTATTGATTGGTTCCTAGTAGAAGTGAATTTTCAGCACTGCCACGCTCATCATCTCACTACACAGGTCCCTTTTAGGGGTCATTTCAGAATTTCCGACGAGGACTCCCGCCCTTTTTTATTGGGGAAAGGGAATGAATTGGCGAGTTGCATGTCACTTGATTCTACTGAGTTGATGGTCCTTCCTCGTTTCCTTCACAGCCTGCCCTTTTGTCTGGCTTCCTGACCGTACAAAGGCTAGGCTGCGAAGAAGACTAGGTAATTCCAAGAGAATTGTATGACAACCCTCTCCATATATATATTTCAGGGAATCTTTTCCAGTGTTATCCCTTCCCATTACATCAGCGGAGGAATGGATCAAAGAATAGATTTTCCACAATGGTTGGGAAAAAATTCAAAACGCGGAAGATTGGATAGGATTCTACAGGAGCTACAAACTCACATGAGGCTCAGGTATGTCATTACTGGTGCAGTTCCCCGGGGCGCTCGAGTCTTGAGTTAGTGATTTTGCCAATYTGTGCATCTGGAACCATGCACCGGTTTGGAAAGCACAGGTAACTTGAAAAACCAAAAAGTTACGTCTGCCACCGGGAGTTAAAAAGTTCTCGCTTTTTTTTTCACTTGATTCAACTCTAAGCGTTGTAACATTGACAGGGCTGGGGAGAATGTTCATGACAAGAAGTCGAAGCAGTTGTCTATGGAACAAACTACATTTACAAATTCACACGCAACCAATGTGTAGCTATATGCCCTTTTTTCTACATGTAGTTTTGATGGACTTAGTGAACACGACGAATGTTCGAAATATGTTTTATTGTAAACTATGAAGATTACACAACCAAGATTTTTCGTCAATATTAGAATTACCCAATTCTTGGRTTTCAACCACATGATCAAAATTACCTTGACAAATAAAGAACAAAAGCTATCGCCGCCATGTTGGATGAAACTAATGCTTTGTTATCGTCTTCCAACATAGCGGCGATGACGTGAACGTGCAACCCGASAATACAGTGATTGCTACACAATCTAACACGTCTGCATCAATGCACCATTTCGCAGCCGAGTAGACGCTCTAAAAGCGTCTAGTTTGAATTTCGTTCAAGTACTGTATAGCTATGTATGATTTCATTGTTTTGTCGTATTTTTCCTCSCCTAGCAACATTACGTAAATATTACCGATAATAAACTTAAAGACTGACCCAATTGGAACTAAAAAAGAAAGTGAATTACTCGAGACAGATCCCTACGATAACTGATCATTTAACTTTATGCCCATTTTTCGGGTCAGCGTTTTTGAAATTAGCTGGTGTAATAGAAATAGAAATTATTAATATTTGATTTTGTCATTGACAGCACCTCTGCAGACAAGGCGTGTGTCAATCTTGACTACATCCCACATCTAAGAAACAGTCTTACTCTGCCCCTTATKGATGAGGTATGTATATTTCTACTACGAATTTCTCTTCTGAATGTACTCAAACCATCCAAGTTTCAGCACAAACATTTTCTACTCGTTGTAGATCGTGGATCAACTTCCTATGACAAATTTGTTGTTTGCTCGTTTTAAAATAACAGACAACTAGACAACTAGGGGCGAAACTGTTCGTTGTTCCGTCTTCCATGTTTCGCGATAAGTTGGACGTTCTATTTGCCATGAGAAATAAATCAATTGCCGCGTGCGTTTCGTTGTTAGTAAAGATAAAAACGCATTGTTATCAAAAATTGTTGTCTGATTTGTGACAATATCCAGGTCAATTCCAAAGAGGGTGTGTCTGATGTCATCAAGTTACTTGGTGCCTACGATTTAACAAGAGAGGACTGGGACTCTATCATGGAAGCTGGCCAATTTGAGGGTCACAGAGATCCTATGTCTAGAATTCCTTCTAAGGTAATCGTCAGTTCACCATGCCAGTCTATCACAGTCAGGAAACTTTCATTTTAYATTGCTGCATGTTGGCCACGTGGAAATCACTTTTTTTTAGATGATTTTTATATATGTGATTTTTTTTTATTGCTAACACCTTCAGGTAAAGTCTGCCTTTACGAGAACTTACAACAAAGAATACCATAAAACGCCRTATGTATTGAAAGCACCGCCGTCCAAATCACGTGGTAAAAGTACTGCTGCTATCAGTGATTCTCTGGGTCTTGATGATGAAGAGTTAGAAGAGGAAGACGACAGTCTTGAAAATAGTGCAATGTTAGTTAAAAACAAAAAGCCARCCAGCAAGGTAAAGACAGGCAAAGGGMAAGAAGYTAAGGGAAAGGGCAAAGGAAAAAGTTCAAAATCATAACTTCATAATGTCAATGCTTGGAGATAATTAAACTCTTTCAAGATAATTGATTTATTAAGGAAAGTTATGAAAATAAAATTAATAACACTGCGTATAAATATTGTYTTTTTGTGCCATTTCCTAGCCTGCAAAGCTGCCCCTCTATCCTCGTCTACAGGAATCCTACGCTACGCAGGCTACCTGAGGCTAGCCATTTCCAAACATTACTATAAACATGGTAATAAACTGGCTCTGCTAACAGTACCAGTCAGAGCAATCACCAGTTATTACCTCTCTCAATACACGATGTTTTAATTCCTTTTCACTATCTATAAATATAATGGTCCGTTTGTATAAACACGCTATAGATTAGACTTAAATTTAATCCATGAAATTTTACAAAATCAAAATTGCACACATTTGTAGTAAATCTGCAACAGAATCGGAACACCCTTTGAATATTTGTTCTTTGCGAACACTATTTACAAAATTGCTTAGTGAAATCGGAGTCCAAAGASTGGCAGAATTTCACCGTGATTTGTGTGAGGACAATGTTCAACCGGCATACAATGCGGTCGGGATTTAGATTGAGAGCTAAATGGATACTAAGTACGTTTATAAAACTTATTAATAATGCATAAGCTATTGCTCCAATAAGGGCTGACCATTTAATCAGGTGATTGACCTTGTAAATCTGATACAACCACTAGTGGTCGAATCAGATTTACAACACGGTCGTCACCCTTGAGACAACCCAACACTAGCAAAGGTCTCAGTTTTAGTGTCGCATCATAGACCTTCACTAGGTTTTGAAGCAATCAAAGAYGGATAACAGAACTCGCTTATGCAACAGATGGCTTGCTTTCCATGTGGGATGGATAATTATTCAAAATGTCCTGTGTTGCAGTAAATTGCGCATGCTTAATAGGGACTAAACTCAGCAGTTACCTTATTTGTCATTTTTCGTCATTTATCTCACTGTAATTCATGTTAATTTGTGTTGGAGTTTTATAAGTCGTTTACAACATTCGCGTCCGTGTTGTATGGGAATTACAATCTCTCGCCTGCGGCTCGAGATTGTAATTCCCATACAACACGGCCGCTCATGTTGTAAACTATACTTATGCCTATGTATTTGATTTTCAAAACGAACAAAAACTCGGGCCTTTTCTTTGTCAAGTCAGTGTATAAAATATATTTTTCGCTTCACGTGCGTTTGAGAATCACTTTTACATGCAGCTGAAATGCTGTACAAGCGTTCTGATTTCCCAATTAGCCAAGTTTAAWTTGCGAGTATTCCACGAGATTCCCTGTGCTTCAAGCATGTAATTGTATGAGGTAGAAAGTTTTGAACATGTTTCAACCTGCGCGATATATTTAGCATAGCGTCACCACACTGAGAACTATGAAAGACAATGATCACTTTTATCACTTTATTTTGTGCGTTCTAGATAGCGCTTTTGCAACTTTCACGCGTCTCAGCAAACTGAACTATGATGAAACGTTAACATAGAATTTTCGTGAGTTTAACAGCACCTTGAACAACGTAACGAGGATGTCCAGTACATTCGTTTCCAGTTATCATAGTCTSTGTATATTTAGTGGACCGGCTGCAAGAGAGAAACTGAAATTGAGAATTGCAGTGACAATTCAATTAACTGCAAATTTCAGCTTGCTTTGATGGAGAATGCCAAAGAGTTGTTATGAATTTAAAAGATTATTGACGAGAGGAGTCTGTGAAAGGTATGCAATTACGCCAGTGTTTAAGCCAAGTCTGGAGTACTTTTGTATGACTCCCTGGAACAACAACAACAAGCAATTAATACATACGCTAAAATATCATTAGAGTGAATAAAAAAAATCGTGAAATAGCATACAGCATGGTACAAGATTTCACCGGCAAAAGAAAAAATCGCGCTCCTTGAAGGTTGTTAATTTAATGGAAATATTTAAATTCAATCTACAATAATTACAAAGGTTGTAAATATCCCGTAAGTGTCGAAAATAAGTCATGGAAATATCGCACGTTTTTTTTCTTGTGCATCTCTATTCCGCATATAAATCATGGAGTCCATGCGAGTATTTTACCTTGCATCCAATCGACTCGGTGGTTTTCAACAATTTGGCAAGACCAACAGCACAAGGTCGAAGTTTGTCGAGCGTGTAGGAACAGCCTGGTACTGAATCTGATAATTGTTCATTTTCCAAAGCTAGACTACTGGCAARGCAGAACGCACACGCAGCCACCAAGGAAGGTTTGTATGTCACTAGGACCAAATCAAGTAGGGAAATTTCCAGAAGGAACTTTGCCAAGGTATAAGTTTCTGAGTCACAAAAGGCCGCTCTTGCAAAACGTCGTAGAAAGTGACTTGGTAGGGGTAGGCACAGATTGTAGTTTAGCGTTTCCAAAATACGTTTCTCCATTTGAGTGAGTTCTTTGGCAGAAAATGCCTGCTCTGCCATGGCAATAAGGTCGACGTGACGTGGAACAAAGCGATCTTCGTATTTACAGGCGACCAGAAGACATCCCATCCCAAGAAGCTGGAAATTGACCAGCGGTACGTGATGGAGACTAATGTGACGGTCCAGCAAACCGATCATTAGGTAGAGACAATCCAGTGGAAAGTTATAGAAACCATGTACCTACCACAGACACCATGTTAGTACATCAACGTCGAYACCCGATGCTGTTTCGGCGGTGAGGGGGGTTGGGACTTATAAAAACGACACCTAAAGACAAAACAATTCCTAGGCTGGCGTGGCTTTTATCCCTAGAACTCCTAAAAGGCCCAAACCAAGCTTTCGRCCTTAGCGGCCATTTTCAAGGTTATTAGTGCATGTAATATACATAGCTAACGTAATATACATAGCTAAACTATTTTTCCCATAAAAAAGACCAGTGTGGCCAGCAAAACTTGAGGGGGTCTTAAGGAGATTTAGAGTGTAATAAGTTCGAGTCCCGCAGCTTTTCTTCATAATTTCATCAGAATAGAGACAACAATAATCAAGATCTTCGTTACTTTTAAAAGAATCTATTCTTCGGAATTGACCAATGCGTATAATTCAGAAGTAATCGGTGTACGTACACACGGCCATTTGTTACTTTAGTTTGTTCCTTCTTGAATCCTCCCCTTGTAGTTTCTCTAGCGAGTTAACATCAAAAACTATTGTAATTTTTCACATTTTTTCCCATCTGCAGACTTTGTCATCGTTATTTGCGGGCAGAGACATGCGGAGTTCCAAATCCGATAGCAAATCGTCAATATCAAAKATCGGCAAAGGAATGCATGATGTCAAACGTATTTTGAGCTATAAACAAATCGTCACTGCTCGACATCGTTTCCAGAATGACTGTTAGGAATATTTGATAGCAATATTCAAATTTCGATCGATCGCTTTCGCATGAACAGGTTTTCTTAAAGGAAACTAATTTCAACAGTTCATGAAAAAGTCTCAAGATCAGGAGAGGATTCTATTGTTCGAATCCGAACTAAGAAAACATTCATTTAGTCTATTCAGTTTTTGTTAAAACCACGTGAATTGAAATCTAAGGGCCTGAATTTATATGAAGCGGGCTGGCCCGGTTTGCCGAGATCTCGTTTCGTCTTCAAATACAAAAGATTCCGGCAGTGAGATTACATGGAAAGCGAGCCAGCCCGATTTGCCGAGATCTCGGTATTCCACAACCGGGATCCCGGCAGACCGGGCTGAAAATTTCTCGAAAGCCAAGCGGGCTGGCCCGCTTTAGTGTGCCTGCTGTCCAGAAGTGTGTCAGCGTACAACACATTAGCGCAAGGACGTCACTCGTTGTAGTTTTGACTTTCTTAGCAATTTCTCATTATGCGATGCTACACAGAAGCTATTACGTTATTAATTAACAGCGTTCTTTGAAATATATAAAGTTGCAGTATTCCATGAAACTGAAAAGCAGTGAAATGAGCATACACAATTGTGTTAACAATATGCGAGCAAATTTCCTTATCCTGGTCAAATTATAATCCTTCGCGACAAAACTTAATACTCCATTTTACAGTTCCAGGCGCCAACTTGAAAGGTAGCCAAGCCTTTGCATGAAAGCGAGACAGGAGTTGAGTCTGCAATGATAGATACCTTTTGTTCACACCTAAGACAATTATTCACAGGTGTCTATCACTGCAAGCTCAACTACTGCCTCGCTTTGATGCAAAGGCTCGGCTACCTTTGAAGATGGCGCCTGGAACTGTAAAATGGAGTACTGATTCAGCTGGGGTAGCCCGCGGCTAATCCTGTCTCATATAATCGCGAGACGGGATGAATTAATAATGATCTCGGTCAACCGGGCCAGCCCGCTTCATATAATCAGGCCCTAAGTTTGTTAGTTACCTCGCCTGCGGCCCTCGGGCTGTATATATCGTAATGCCTCCGGTAACTAACTCTTACATAGAAAGCAAAGGAATTCGCATAATTCAATTTACCACTATTGATTTGTTATGAATAATTTACATTTTGATATTGATTTGTTATAGTTTTTCATGGCTTTAGTAGAGTTTGCGTTGTGACTTTTTGTTTGGTACTTGTACAGAGTCTAAAATCCTTCTACCACAATTGGACTATGACAATTTGTTATTTTATAATGTGTAAGTATTGCTAACCTGAATGAGCCAATCTACCAAAACAGCTCTGGATTCATAAGTAACTTCAGCTTGATGTTCGACAAAGTTTTTCGGCAAGAGGAATTGCTCCTCCAGCGCATAAAGATACGAAAAGATTTCATCTGAGTAATATGCTACTGCGGCCCAGTCTTCAGACACATCAGGTACAGTGTTGTCGCTGCATTCTTGCACTGTAGATGTCGTATCCCGTTCAAAAAATCCGCTGTCGTTCAGTCGACTTCGTGCTCTTGGCCTCGGCGCACAGAGAATATCAAATCTCCAGTTCGACGGACAGGATTTGACCAATTCATTGTCGATGACTCTAGCTATAGTCGACTTATCATCATTACGGGGAGTCTCATCTGGTGTGTTTTTGATTCGCTCCATTTAAAAGGAGAGTCAAATAAGATCCTGATATAATAAACTCCTACAAACAACACATTATAATTCAACAGAAAGGACCGCGCACACTTTGCTTTGCTATTGAGAAGTGTRAAAAACAACCAATTTTCACGTGCCGTGCGTTGTCAAAATCAATNCGTTCGCGAGGCAGTCATATATCAAAGATCTTTTTTCACTAAATTAATCCTATCAAATTAAATTGATTGTTTCTAATACTTTGATTATCATTAGCTAGTAGTAGTTAGAAAAATGTAGAACCCGCTAAATATCGGGGAAACCCGCCCACAATGCCGAAAGTAGCGCTTGGATGTGGGAAACCAAGTTGATTACTGCTCATGCTCAGATGGAGATATCTTCATCAATTATTCATTTTTGATATTTTTTTATTTATTTCATGTTTATTGTAGTTTCTTAGGTTTGGGTTTTAGAAGTCATTTAAAAAACTCGTAGTTCGTGTTTTATCGTGGTTATAAACACTCGGCCTTCGGCCTCGTGTTTTATCTCACGTTCTAAAATATTTAGGATACTACGCGCGCTGTGATTGGTCGAAAACCATGTTTGATTACAGTATCAAAACACGCTCGCGCGCGTCAAAAATTTCTTTTTTCCCGCCATTTGCATTTGTTGTTGTTATCATTCATTTTCAAGAAAAATGAACGAAGAAATGCCTATTTATGATGTCCTCTGGGATGATATCCCAGAAGAAGAGCTATCAAACGTTTTAGAATCTACAGAAGCTGCAGACAACTGCAATGTAAGGAGAATTCATCGTTTCATATCGTATCAAAAGTCAGAATTCTTTACAATTTTCGTATTCTTTTAATTTTAGAAAAGAAATAAAAGACGAAATTCCGTGTTTGATACTCTGATCAAAACACTTGGGATGTAGGGAGAGCACTCGAAAAGCTGGAAACCACTCCGCTACGCGTCGTGGTTTCCTACGCTTCTCTCGTGCTCTCCCTACATCCCGCGTGTTTTGATCAGAGTATCAAACACGGAATTTCGTCTTTTATTCCTTAAATAATAAAACAAATAAATAAGTCTCATACTCTGATAAACGCACGCTTGGCATTTGAAACACACTGCACGAGAAAATGTCCAAGAGCACTCGCTTTTTATATCACTATATAAGTAAAGGCCGGGGGAGATATCAAAGAAAAACGGCAAATTACGCCTTAATTCATAACTAAGACCACATAAAGCTGAGATTCAAGACTAGTTTTAACAAATCGAAATCGCTTTTCTATGGTCTGTACGCTTATCGACAATGAAAATGGCGTTCGTGGTTCCACTTGAGTTTTGACCATTTTCTGGCGTCATTTTCATTGTCGATAAGCGTTAGTTTGATCTGGAGATGTGAATGTAGCTGAACTCATCGACACTCTCGTTCAAAATATGCGAAAGTTAGTTTTGACCAATCAGAAAAGAGAGTTATTTATTATAATTTTAGACTAATACGTCATAGTGGCTTGACGTCGCAGTATCAGCGATTTCGACAAGAAATCTGAAAACATACTGTAAAAGCAGAACTTCCACCGTATCTAATCGACATGGCGTACCGTGCAAAGGGATTAAGAACATTGGGTGTAATTCAAATGGTGTTCGGTGTTTTGATGGGCATTTTTGGTATAGCAAGTATGGSAGCAGTTCATCACTGGTCAAGCTACGTCGCTTGCGGACTCTGGGTTGGAGTTTGGGTGAGCAAGTTTCGAATACTTTTATTCTAGCTCTAATAAGTTATTTTAACTTAATCACAAAACACAATGTTATCTATTT